CCACTTTACAATAAGGCTCCCCTTACAGATGGCTTGCAAATAATGTATAGAAACGTTAATAATTCATCTGTAAAGACTTTATAAATCATTAATAAATGTGTATTATTCATTAATTAAACAAGGGGAAGAGACATAATTGTACAGTTTCTTGCCAAATAGTGAGCCAAATCTGTTCATGTATATATTACATCTAAAGGTGCTTTATTAAACATTTTACACTAGTTTACTACCTTGTAAGCACAATAATTTATTGAAAACACATGTTTTACATATAATATTGTACTGTATTACTGCTTTATACATATCCACAGTAATCAAAGGGAGCCTTATTGTAAAGTGTTGAACAGTATACTATTTATTAATGACTAATAATGTCATAACAGAGCCTTATAAACAGTGTACTGTTTTACACTTTACAATAAGTCTCCTTTATGGCATTTATACAAGTTTATTAGTCATTAATAACTACTGTACCTACTGTCTTACATTTATATGTATAATTCAGTAATATAGTTCAATATTATTTTTTAAATATGTGTTTCAAATACATAATTGTGCTTATAAACCTAGTAATATGTACACAAACAGATTTTGGCTCACTATTTGGCAAGAATCCGGGCAGTTTTGTCTCTTTACTGTCCTTAATTAATCCATAATAAACATTTATTAATGATTTATAAAGTGTTTACAGATTAATTAATATCTTATCTATAAACTATTTGTAAGCCATCTATAGGGGGAGCCTTACTGTAAAGTGATACCTATTTTTATACTTGCATCAGTGCTGCAGCGAACTGCTGCTGCTATTTACTAAAACCCACAAAAATCTGTAAATTTTAAACTCTGAATAGAAAAAGTGATTATAAAACAGCGTTCACATGACACACATCAGCAGCACACATTGGACTTGCCCCTCCCACCCCACCCCACGATCAGCCGTTACTTCGACAGTGCAGACAGAATTAAACTCCAACAGGTAAGATATTAATTATTTATACCCTCAATGGYTCTGAACTATTGCTTCAAACCCAACAATTTGCCCCCTAAAGTTCATGGAAACACTGTGCTAGAGATGATGCCTAAAAACTGGTCATTTATTTTATTTTTTATTTACATGAAAAATACAACACATCTGATGAACTCTCATTGTGTTTTTAAAGACTACATGTAGAACCCTGTTGTAGTCACTTATAACTGAACATCCTGAGATTAATTATTTAAAAAAAACTGTTTAGTGACAGCAGAGCGAGCTGCACGTACCTGCATTTGATCAGGCTGAATGGTGAAGGATTCTCCCTGTGATAAAACAGGACAAAATTAAAATTTAACTTAGTTAATCCTGACTTGATGGGAGCATAATTCAAAGTCATAAACAATATCATTTACTGGAGTAAAACTATAAAGCCCTGCAACACCCAAATGATTCATTTCTTTTATGGGACATTTGATGTAAACAGATTCACACTGAAATCCACCCTCTGATATAAAAGTGTGAATATCAGCCTTTTCAGTGTTTGACATCCTTGTAAAGAAAAGCCTTACAAAAGCCAGGTTCATCCTTGTGGCTTGAAGGGTCCAGCGGGAGCCCTGCAGTAAAAAAAAAAAAAAAAACACTTCCATCAGCAGAAAGATACAGATATATAAAAGCATAGTTAACTAGACATGGGATTTTACGATGTAAAAACAAGTGTGCATTGCCATGTAGCATGTCATTGCAGCATGGCTTTGCCTGCAGCACTGGACTTGCAGAATGAACTTTGACCAAGTTCAAATGTGTTTTCTATACCAGCTTGTGCCTGTCACGTCAGCAGGTGTTTGTAATTAAGGTAATTGAGTGACAATATGAAGTTGGAAGATATTTTTTGTTAAAGTTGCATTAGCTGGGTTTTGAACCCTGATCCCCCACATGAAAGTCCATGACATAGACCATTAGACCAATGGAGCTGTGGCAGAAGGTGGTGGCAGGGGTTGGTTCGTATGTGTGCAGAAAGAGGCCACATTGCCAATACAATTATTGACACAAAAATGCACAATATTACAACAATAGAGCAGTATTAAGTAAAACATCAAAATACAATCATATTAGTATTGTAAACACTGAACTATTGAGATTAAATATAAAAAAACTATGGTGCAGTACCAAGTTGAGTACAGCGGGGGCAGTATTGGACCATTACAAGGCCCCATTGACTCCCATTATATGAATTTGGAATAAAGTTTAAAC